TGTGTAGATTTGCTGAGCCAAACAGGTGAAACAGTGACAGCTACCATATTGGAATGCTCCCTGTGCCCTAGGGCCTAGACCAGTGATGGCGAACCTAGGACACGCGTGTCAGAGGTGACACGTGAACTCATTTTTTTGGTTGATTTTTCTTTGTTAAATGGCATTTAAATATATAAAATAAATATCAAAAATATAAGTCTTTGTTTTACTATGGTTGCAAATATCAAAAAATTTCTATGTGACACGGCACCAGAGTTAAGTTAGGGTTTTACAAAATGCTGACACGCCGAGCTCAAAAGGTTCGCCATCACTGGCCTAGGCCAAGTGCTTTCATACTCTCATACAATCTCACTGTGCTACGATCCACGTAGTATCCCCATTTTGCAGGTGAGTTATTTGAGGATCCACAATTAAATTGCCCTAGGGCACCAGCCACAGCGCTGACCTGGGACTCTCCCAAAGGAGGGCCAGTTATCTCATCATGAACCCATCGTTTCCCGATTTGAAAGGTACCTTTATCACCTAACTCCTTCCCAACCAACCTCTTGTTTCTGGACTTCCTACGTATCTGACTGTGTTACCTTCCCTGTCTGGGCTCAAGCCCTCTGTCGAAGGTCGACTTGCTATGGGAGTTGCCACTGAAGAGCTTCCTATGAAGGTGCAGATATTTCAACACCTTCCTTGTGGTTTTAGCTACACGGCCACCTGGGTCATCCTGGTGCAGTCAGATTTCACTGAACCTCCACCTTCCCCGTTCTTGCTTTTTTAAAAAAAAATCCTTACCCCAGGACACACTTTTTAAAAATCTATATATTTTTATTGATTTCAGAGAGGAATGGAGAGGGAGAGATAGAAACATCAATGATGAGAGAGAATCATTGATCGGCTGCCTCCTGCATGCACCACACTGGGGATTGAGTCCGAAACCAAGGCATGTGTTCTTGACCAGAATCGAACCTGGGACCCTTCCATCCGCAGGCCGACACTCTATCCACTGAGCCAAACTGGCCAGGGCGGGACACACTTTTATTGATTTCTTTTTCTTATTGAGAGGAAAAGAGACAGAAACATCAGTGTGCAAAACATTGACCGGTTGGTTGCCTTCTGCATGCGCCAGACCTGGGATCAAACCCACAACCTAGGTGTGCGCCCTGACCAGGAGTGGAACCCAAAACCTTTTGGTGTCTGGGAGGGTGCTTCAACCAACTGAGCCACCCAGCTAGGGCCACCTTCCCCATCCTTTTTTTTTTTTTTTTTAAATATATTTTTATTGATTTCAGAGAGGGAGAGATAGAAACATCAATGATGAGAGAGAATCATTGCACGCCCCCTACTGGGGATCAAACCCACAGCCCGGGCATGTGCCCTTGACCAGAATTGAACCCGGGACCCTTCAGTACTGAGCCAAACCATTCTTAATGGCTCTTAGGCAAGTTCTGCTGCCAAAAAGTACTTCACCTGGAGGGCCCCCTCCCCGCAAGCTTCCTCCAGGCCCACTCTCCAAATGCATCCACATCATGCAAACAATTCCTTTCCCAGAACACTTACGTTTAAACATGTTCTGGGGGTACCAACTAAAGCCAGCGGGCCAGGGAAAAGGTGGAAGTTTGCCTCCCCCTCCCCCAAGTTTTATTGAGATATAACTGGCCATTTATACAAGGCAAGATGTTGAGAACCCCTTATCATCTACCAAATAACAAAACAGAGTTCTGAACATGTGGAACCCACAGAAGAAGGCACGAGAAGACAGGCAGGCCTCAGGTCTAAAGAGCAAGTTCTACAGCGGCTGTATTGCTTCCCTCCTGTGCTCCGTGAACTCAGAGGACTCACTGTGCTCACATCACAGCCTACTCTTCAAAACCCGAAACCCCGATTCGAAAGAATATATGCACCCCTATGTTCACTGCAGCGCTATTTACAATAGCCAAGATGTGGAAACAACCCAAGAGTCCATCAGTAGATGAGTGGATAAAAAAAGCTGCGGTACATTTATACAATGGAATGATACTCAGCCATAAATAAAGAAGGAAATCTTACCCTTTGCAATAGCATGGGTGGACCAGGACAGCATTATGCTGAGTGAAATAAGCCAATCAGAGAAAGACAGGTACCATAGCATTTCACTCATATGTAAAATCTAATGAACAAAATGAACTAACAATCAAAATGTGACACTCATAGAGAGCAGGCAGACAGTTGTGGGGGGAGGGGAGATCCAGATGGCGGTGTGTGGAGGGAAATGAGCAAAAAATAAAGAGAGAAAAATACTCATGGACAGAAACAACAATGTGATGATTGCCTGGAGGTGGAGGGAGGGAAGGAGGGTATATGGGCATAAATGGTGATGGACAGAAACTTGACTTGGGGTGGTGAACACACAATACAATGTACAGATGATGTGTAGAATTGTGCACCTGAAACCTGTTTTGTTTACTAGTGTCACCCCAATTAAGTCAATAAAAAGGGGGGAAAAAGCTGAAAGCTTTTGTATATATATGTGTAATATATATACACATACTAGAGGCCCGGTGCACAAATTCGTGCACAGATGGGGTCCCTCAGAGTGGCCTGCAGAGATCAGGCTTGCACCCCCAGCCTCGCAGCCCCGCCTGGCATCCCGTGTTGGCCTGGTGCCACCCCCTCACCTGCTCCACCATTCTGCCACTGTCCTGCTCTCGGCAAGGCCCATTGGGGCCAGCGGCACCTCCACTGCTGCCCACTGCCAGTGCCCCATTGCCGATGCCCACCATGTTCTGTGCTACCCCCTGGTGGTCAGTGCACATCATAGTGAGCGGTCGAACGACCACCAGAGGGGATAATTTGCATATTAGGCTTTTATTATATAGGATATATATATATGGAATGGGCTTCAAAGATTAGGGCTGAGAAAATAGACACACACAGCACACATTTATGGAAACATCACAATTTTTGTGCTAGCAATCCCTCAAGTACAAATTTACCGAGTTAATTCAAATGCAAAAAAACAAAACTATGCCACAAAGATGTTCAAATTCTTTTTTAAAAATTTTTTTATTGCCGAAACCGGTTTGGCTCAGTGGATAGAGCGTCGGCCTGCGGACTGAAGGGTCCCAGGTTCGATTCCGGTCAAGGGCATGTACCTTGGTTGCGGGCACATCCCCAGTAGGGGATGTGCAGGAGGCAGCTGATCGATGTTTCTCTCTCATCGATGTTTCTAACTCTCTATCTCTCTCCCTTCCTCTCTGTAAAAAACCAATAAAATATATTTAAAAAAAATATATATATATATATATTTAAAAAAAAATTTTTTTAATTAAATTTAGAGAGGAAGGGGGTGAGGGAGGGAGAAACATCCACTTGTTGTTTCACTTCTTTATGCATTCATTGGTTGCTTCTTGCAGCTGATCGATGTTTCTCTCTCATCGATGTTTCTCTCTCATCGATGTTTCTAACTCTCTATCCCTCTCCCTTCCTCTCTGTAAAAAACCAATAAAATATATTTAAAAAAAATATATATATATATATATTTAAAAAAAAATTTTTTTAATTAAATTTAGAGAGGAAGGGGGTGAGGGAGGGAGAAACATCCACTTGTTGTTTCACTTCTTTATGCATTCATTGGTTGCTTCTTGTTGTTCCCTGACTGAGGATTGAACCTGCAACCTGGGCATATTGGGATGATGCTCTAACCAACTGAGCTACCCAGCCAGGGCAATGATCAAAATGCTTTAACAAAATAGTTTGAGGGAATAGACGTACCATCTAAAATAGCTAAGTAAACATTTCTATATTATTGTAGATATTTTAAAACAATTAGCCAGAAATGGGCTTTGCTTGGGAAAGATGTGTAAAATATGCTGGAGAGGGGGAAAAGATATATACTTTTTTTCTTAAGTAAAATAATTACCATACATTTGAATCTAGAAAGACATAAATCACCTGTGGGTTACTATCAAGAGGGAGAAAGTGTGAAAATTGTACACTTGGGACCAAGGCATATTATTAGCTTAAATTAGGTACTTTCCATTTCAGCTATCTTAAGGACCAGCTTAATCTGGCTCTGAGTCACAGTGTGGCTGCTTCTTCCTAAATTTAGAACTGAGGCCAAAGGACAGACCTTGAGGGTCAGGGGAGGGTGGAAAACATCCACTTGCAAAGGAAGTTGACATGCAGGTCAGAGGTCATCAGAACACAACTCCCAGCCCTTTGCTGGATGTCAAGGGAATATACCTCAGGATAATGTGGGGTCCACATCCACAAAGGTTCTGGGGTCTCATGCTGCTTCTTGCCATTGGGTTTGCAAAGACAAACAGCAAAAGATGGGCAACAAGAGGGTACATTACCAGTAGGTCACTAACCTGGCCTTGCCCTTTGTCTCCCTCCAATGAGCACTTTTTCCACTACCCTTGGAATCAAGGGCTGCCTATTTGACTCTCAGCCCATTCCCTCCTAAGCAAACCATAATTATGAGATGGTTAAAAATATTGTCTCTCTGCCCAGTGACTTGGTCAGAGTGGACTGAGATGTGGGGTAGTCTAGGGCGTAAGTCCTCTATAGTCATAAGCAAACACAAGCAAGAGTTCTCTAGTGAAGTTAACTCTAATAAAACTTTTATGCCTTAAAAAAAGATACAGCCTGGCCAGTGTTGCTCAGTGGTTGAGTGTCCACCTATGAACAGGTCAGAGTTCGATTCCCGGTCAGAGCACAAGCCTGGGTTGCGGGCTTGATCCCGTGTGGGGCGTGCAGGAGGCAGCCAGTCAATGATTCTGTCATCATTGATGTTTCTCTCCCTCTCTGAAATCAATTAAAAAATATTTTTTTAAAAAAAGAAAAGATATGAACTAGCAAGTAGTTGGTTATGTGCTTGAGAAGTGGGTCAAGCACAGATTTAACTGGATAAACATCCTCATTCTAGGACCTTGAGGTTAGGAGTCACCTAGAAATGTTTGTCAAGGAAGGACTCTCAGGTTAGAGCAGAAAGGACCAGAAAAACTTAGACACATCTGGTGAGGGGAAAAATACCAAAATTTATTTTCCGACAGTCAGCATCAGCAGGTAAAACTACAAGGTTTTCTCTGTAGATCATACATTCACAAGGCATAACAGTGAGAAAGCCTCTGGCATGTCCTCTGTAACAATATCCACTTCACAGTGTAAACAGGTTCTAGTATTGTGTTCATTTACAATTTCAGAAGGAAAGGCACAACTTGGCAAAAAAATAATAATTTTTTTTTTTTTATCCTGAAGTCAGGTGCAATAACTCAGAGACCAACTTTTGATACACGTTTTGATGTACATTTCCACTTTGAGGGGAAAGACTCAAACCAGGGTCTTTCCTTCTTCTTCCTCATTAAACCATCAGAGCAAAGTTTCAGCATTTTCTTATTATATATGCAAGAAAGGGATTAAAAAAAAAAATCACAAAATATCTTGAAGGTCCAGCCGCTCCCACCAATACATCAACTCTTAGGTTTAAGACAGGGACTGGGAACACTTTCAGCGGTCATAAAATAGGAAAAGAGAGACTAAAGCTACAAAAATAAAAAATAAATGAGGTAGATAAATTAAAGCTTTCATACCCAGGACTCGCCTGTTCCAACTTCGTAACCTTCATGCAGTACTCACGGGGGAAGAGAATCTTCACAATTACTTGGCATAAGTCACATCCAAATTTTTCTAAAAAGTAGTATGTGAACCTCTTATCAGAAACATGCCCTCCATGAGTTTCTTCAAGAATGAAAGACTCATTTCTTCGCTAGAGTAGGCACTGGTGAACTAAATCATCACCTGAGGTCCCCTGCTCAGGTGCCACCTGTCCTGGTGTTCAGGAAGGCGGCTCTGGAAGCAGGGAAGACATTGGCACTCTTAGGGCTCCAACTGAACTGTATTTCAACAAGCAGCAACACACACATTGACTCCCGAGGGACTGAGATCGTCCATTGGAGGGCATCCTGCTCCCGGTCCCAAGGTGGAAGGAATTTTGTAACTCCACACCTTAGTTAAAAATAAAAAGGAAGGTACATTCAAAAAGGAAACAGAACAAAAGATGGGTGCAGGGTCGAGGGACATACAGAGCAGGTCAGCAAGGACGACAGACCCAGTCCGTTTACCCGCACACAGTCCCGGAAGTATGCAGCTCCCCCTCCCCAGTTAGGCTAAGCAGTTTCTTTCCCATCGTGGTTTAGTAAGTTCCAACTTGAAACGGGGGACAATCTTTGGAAATAGTTCCTCTAGCTTGTACAAAGTCTTCATATATACAGTTTGTCTCAAGTAACAAAGCCACTTTGCAAGACCCGCTTCTTCCAAAATTAAAAAAAAAAAATACTAGTCTGTATTTATTTTAGTATGTGTGTGGTTTTGTTTTGTTTTTTTAGCAAAGCAGCATAGCAACATCGTGATTGTTGGACGTGCCTGAGGTTGTGGTCACAACTGTAAACATTTGCACATCAGTAAAAAAACAAACAGGAGGAGATGGGTTTTTAAACAACAACAACGACAAAAACAAAAGATCCAGTTCAAGCGGTCACTCTGCATTTCTCCTTCACACTGGCTCTCCCATCGCTTAGCTGACCGCAATCTTGTTTTCCTCCAGGAAGTGAGGGAACTGGTGTTTGGGGACGCTGTCAGCAGCACCCGGCTTTTCCACGTCGCTGCTCACCGACTGGGAGCCATCGATCTTGGAGACGGTGGTGTTGCTGACCACGGAGCTGGCACCCAGGGACACGGGGAGAGTCGGGATGCCTCCGCTCTGGATCACCGAGATCTCGTTGGTCTTCATGGCCAGACCACCGTTGAGCATGGTGGTGTACTGGTTCCACACAACAGGGTCCACGTTCACTGAAGGGGCCATGATTTCCTTGGGAAACACCTCTGGGACCCTCTTTGTGTCTGTTCCTAGCAGAGCCATGGTGTTCTCGATGGCCAGCTTCCTCCCGCGGCGCGCGGAGCTGTTGCTGGCGCCATGCGTCATGTAGTGAACCTAGGGGAAGAGGGACAGAAAGGTTCCCACCGGAACCGAGGTGTGAATGCATGCTGGCAAGCCGCAGTCAGCCTGTGTGTGGGTTTGGTTCTATCCAAACAGTATCAACATAATTTATATTTAAAAATTAGATTTCATATTTAAAAAACCAGGTATCTGTTCTCTTGAGGGGGGAAAAATTTAGATGCTTGTACTACCTACTGCTTCTTCAACTCCTTTCTGCAATTACTTTCCTGGTTCTGCTTGAATTCTCAACCCCCTTTCAGCTTCTTTAAAAAATTGAAGCGGTACCAGGCTTTCTCATTTCACCTTCACTGACATCCTTAGTAGTCGGGAGTTACCTCATAGAGCTCTGGAGTGACTCGCTCTGTATCACTCTAAGAAGCTGTTAAGATGCTGCAGACATAATTTGAAACACTTTACTATACAACTCATTTCATCTCCAGGACAAGCCTGAGGCCATTGTCACCAGGATCCCCATGCCTGGCAACCCCAGGAACAAGGAGCACCTGCCTCAAGCCCCCAGTGCAGCGAGAGCAGCTCCAGACCTCCCCTGGCCCATGGCAGGGCCAGTGATCAAATGTAAGCTTTTGTGTTTCTGGGAGCTGTGTTAGAGCTGAAGTTACTTCATGTTCTTCCTCCCGCAGTTTTGCCATTTGGACGGAAAAGAATAGCTTGTTTTGTAATAAGTATTTTCAATTTTTAAAATGACATATACAGTTGTCTCCTAGGTCACCTTTAAGATGAAGTTCCGATCTTTATTCTAACGACAAAGAATTAAACGAGTGTTCTACTCTGGAGAGGGAGGGAAAGAGAACCAGAGAAACATGCCTTGCGTAAAACCAGAGGCCAGGCCAAGAGGAAAACGCAGGTCCCCAATTTGCATCCTGTGTCCTCATGCAGGCCACTTCCAATCCTTACGGGGGAGGGTCTCCTCTCCATCTCCTGTGTGAAATCTTAGGTGGAAGCACCTTGTCATGTAACAACAGGCCATGGAACCAGCTGTTCTATTTTGAAACGCACTGCTGATGACCTGGAGGCACACTGCGGTGGTACTTTGTTGTATGTTTAACAGATGGCATTCTTTTCAAACCAGCAGCCTCAGAAGACAAAAGCAACGTACAGTGCAGGGTGGCCATCACATGACTGATCAATTCTACGTTACTACACATGACAGACACCATCTATGATTTCACACATCTACTAAACGATTGCTGAAGGGCCGCATGGTCTGCCCAGCCCCAGAAGGACAGTGGCCTATGCTAAACTTAACACCAAGAGACAGGAGCAGAGTGCAGACTTTGTGTCCTCTCCTTGACGACGCCCCTTGTAAGATGTGTCATGATTTTAGCTGCCACTGAGATTAGAAAAGAATCACTGATCACAGACACTGACAGCAAGAAGCATCCAGTATCAGAGATGCCAGGATAGAGAGAGCCAGGGAGGAGGTCGAGCCTGTAACCGAGGTACATGCCCTTGACCAGAACTGAACCAGGGACCCTCTAGTCCACAGGCCAACACTCTCTCCACTAAATCAATTTGGCTAAGACAAGAAAATTTACTTCTTTTTAAAGAATATTTCTTTGAAGAGCCAGTTTTGAAGTGTAATATCCCATTTGCTCCTAGTAGGTGTACTATGGATGGAGAACACCAAGAGATGCCTCTCCACACCTGGGTCCTATCCCTGCCGAAACCCTAGGGAACTCACCTTCAAGTTGCCTTTGGTGGTGAAAGCTCGCCCACATATGCTACACACGAAAGGCTTCTCCCCAGTGTGAGTCCGCTCATGAATCTGGAGGGCGCTGGCCGACGAGAAGTTCTTCCCGCACCGCGTGCAGGCGTGCTGCTTACCCTGGCGGCGTGGCTGGGCCGCCAGCAAAGGTGCCATGCCTGGGGACATGGTCGCGGGTCCAAATGCACCAGGAACTTCCACTTTGACAAAGGTTGGCTGGGCTCGGACAAATGCTGATGGGAGACTGCTCCGACCTAGTGCGCAGAGAAAAGAATCCCAAAACTTTATCACCCCAAACTCATTCACACTTCAAACCAAAAAAGAACTTTGAAAACTCCCGCCCACCACTCGACTTCCTGGAAAGGGCTTTCAGGAAGTTCACACCCCAGAAGCAGCTCTCCTTTGACTTTACCTGTGCGGAGAATGATCGTGACTCACACACTTAGGAAATTTTACCATTTTCCTGTAAAGGTCTGTAACACATAACATGCATTCAAGTCCAAATCCCTATATAAAGAGTTACCCTGAAGTATGACCAGGTGCCCACCCTTCTCTATGATGTAGTTGTTCCCCCATTTTGCCATTAATGACATCAATAGGCACCCTTCCATTTATATGCGCATTTCAAAAGGGTTAGATTCTTTTTTACCCCGAGTTATTCATTTGTGAACCTCACACTAGGGAGTGGGACCTCAGAATCAAGAAATTATGGTTTGTCTCCGTGGCCAAATAACAGTGCCCACTTCCTCAAAATTCTCCTACTCTTTAAGATTACCCTTATGTCCCCACAGGGCTCAAACACAAAAATAAAAACAAAAAAAAAAGCCCACTGTCCATAGCCAACGTGCATTAAATCAAAGATGGCCTTACTGGGATAAAGGAAGTTCCTCTTTCCCTCCACCCAGAAGTGCAGAACGGCTACCCGCCCTACAGAGGATGCTTCACATTTATCACACTCTCCGTTTGCCAAGTTCAACCCAGGTTCCTTTTGGATGACCTTGTGCCTGAAATGGACATAAGTTAAATCCAAAGCTCTATCACCTTCCATCTCAGTGCGGCTGCTGTCCGAGCCGTCTGCTCTGCCACCAGCATCAGGAGACTTGGACTTGATGCTTTCTGCTTGGCTATTGGCCGGGGAGAGGGCCTGAAAGGAGGTCGCCTCCAGGATGTCTGGACTTCGGCTCTGATACTCCTGGTCTCCCATCACTGAGGACGAGGAGTCGGTGGTCAAGCCATCGCTCTCCACCGAACCGTTCTCTCGGCTGCTCTGTCGCTGCAGGACCAGAGGAGCAGGACCCAGCTTCCCCGAGGCCTCCAGGGGGGCCATCAAGGTGAACCCCGTTGTGGGCGATGCCGAGTGGATGCCGGAAAGAGGCAGGGGGACCTTCGAGGAGCTGCTGGGAGCATCTTGGGAGCCGACTGCATCAACATCGATGCTTTCGACAATGTCGTCGTGACAGACAGCACCTGTGCTGCCGTTCTCACCCACCATCATCAGCTCGGGACCCACCAGGTCACAGGGACTCTCCGGCAGGGGTGTGTTGGGAATCTGACCACCCATGTGCATCCGAATATGCTGCTGCAACATGACTGCGTTGGTAAACTTCTTCTGGCAGATGGGGCACGAGTGCTGCGTCTTCATGGACGTGTTGGTTCGGTGAACCGTAAAGTGTGTCTTCAGGTTGCCTTTGGTGGAGAAAGCTCGGTCACAGATCTTACAGCGGAAGGGCCTCTCCCCGGTGTGGGTTCGGTAATGCATTTTGAGGGAGCTTTGGCAGCTTAAGACCCGGTGGCAAATGAGACATTCGTTGGGGTCCGTGGTGGCCTTGTCAATGTTCTCAACCAGCTGCTGCAACTTCATGGTCTCTGACCCTGGCTCGGGTGTCCCTCTCCCTTGGAAGCCACCAACCCTTGGGGAATTATGGTTTGGCCCCACCCCAGAGAGTAGGGATCCATCCTCACTTTCTGGAGACGGCCCGGGCTGCAGGTCAGGGACCAGTGGGCCCCCCACTAGGTCCTTGGGGTTAGTCCCCGAAGAGAGGTTCTGAGGTAGACCTACATTGGGGGTCCCTGTGACCAGGACAGGTTTGCTGTCTAGAGAGAGACTCGATTCATCTATGGGGACAGGTACAGAGAGTGCATAGGGAACGCCATTGCCTGCTGCCATTTTGTCGTGGAACTCGGTAAACAGCTGGGGGTTCGCCTTCACCTGGGGGTGTCGATGAAAGTGTACCTTGAGGTTGCCCTTGGTGGTGAACCGGTGGCCACAGACAGAGCACACGAAGGGTCTCTCTCCAGTATGGGAGCGGAGGTGGATCTGCAAGGAGCTATCAGTCCCAAAAACCTTGCTACAGTACTTACACTTGTGCCTGTAGAGGGAGGCCTCGTCTTTGGGTTTGACATCCACCGGGGACACGTTGGGTGGCTTCCCTTTCCCTTTCTTAGACGGGTCTAACGCCACCGTGGAGAAAGGGCTCTGGAAGAGCACAGAGCTTGGGGTCGGGGGTAGCAGAGCACCGGGGATGCGGTTTGGGAGCACCCTCGTCCCATCCGGCCTCAGGGCGAAGGACAGCAGCCCCGGGGACACCGAGCTGGTGGTGGAAGGGATGCTTGTGTGAGGTAGCTTGGCTTGTTTCAAGGTGTCCAGGGACAGACCCTGGCTTCCAGCTTTCTGGCTGAGCAAAGCCACGGCTGCAGAGACCTGCTGGGACACGTGGCTGCCCAAGGTCTTCAGGGTGTCAGCTCCCGCTGCGCCCGAGTGGAGGGCATGGGCGGCCCACATGTTCACCTGGACTCGGATCTGCTCGGTGAGCTGGATCTGCTGTAGCTGCTGCTGCTGCAGACACAGGATCTGCTCCAGGACCCACGGGATGCTGTTGGCACCGGGCAGGGGGGCGGGCAGCGCGTCCGCGCTCCGCTGATTCACTGCCACGTTGGTGCCCCGTAGTGCTTGAAGAGTGACGTTAGTGTTGGCCACTTTGCCTTTGGGTAAATAGCTTAAGTCCTGGGCTGTGGGTGGCAGGGCGGGCTCCGTCTTTAAGTACAGGACAGACTCCGCCCCTGGCTTCTCCTTCATGTCCCCTGAGCTGCTGCCATTCTCCCTGTGACTGTCCTTAATGCTTGGACTGCGTGGCTGGTGGCTCAGCCCAGCCCCGGAGAAGTCTTCGGAAGGCATCGGCCCCTCGCTGTCGTTCATGATGAGGACAGGTGGGTGTTTAGTGCAATTTTTCTTATGTTCTAAGAACTCAGAGACGCTGAAGAACTCTCCGCAGCATTTCTCACAGATGTGAGTCTCCTCCTGACGAAGCCTCTTCACTGTCGCCGGGTCCCCATTCATGTCATCGCCAGTCCCCGGGCAGTTCACTGAAGCACCTGTGAAGAGAGGAAAAGCTAAGAACTCTGTTCAAGGAAAGAAGAGAGACAATGTCTTGGGAAGAACCATGACCACACACAATGCATCAGTCTGTGTAAGGAAATCAAATATATAAAGAGTCTGAAAAACCAACCACTTACATAGTGGGTCAATGAATGTCCTTCTAAACATGTCTATTATTTTTAATTGATTTTTTTAAGAGGAAACATTGATTTGGTATTCCACTTATCTATGCATTCTTTAGTTGCATCTTGTATGAGCCCTGACCAGGGATCAAACACGCAACCTTAGCATATCGGGACGACACTAACCAACTGAGCTACCTGGGAAGGGGGCAAATATGTCTAAGCACTAACTCCAGCACATGTGTGTGTGACCTTACTTATTAGGAAGAGGAACTTTGCAAATGTAATTAGCATGAGTCCCCTGCCCAATGCTTATAAAGGAAAGGGAAATTAGAGACAGGGAAAAAGGCTGGGTGAGGGAGTTATGTGCTATAAACCAAGGCTGCTGGCTTATAGAAGGTAGGGAAGCAGGAGCCAACAGAAAGCAGGTCAAAGGCAAGGGACAGATTCTCCCTCAGAGCTTCCAAAAGGAATCGAACCTGCCAACACCCTGACTTTGTACATTCAGCCTCCAAAACCATGAGGGAATAAATTTCAGTTGTTTTAAGTCTCCCACTTTGTGGCAATTGATTCCAACAGCCCTAGGAAACTCATACAATTTATCTATATATGTAAAAGGCTAATATGCAGTGTCCCCTTGGGAGTTCGACCAAGAGACTGGGAGTTCGATCACTTGCTATGACATGCGCTGACCACCAGGGGGCAGTGTGAAACGAAGGAAGGCCCCGATCGTAGGCCAGGCCTAGGGACCCTACCCATGCACAAATTTCATACACCAGGCCTCTAGTTATAATTGCCTTCACAGATTTCACCCCACTCAAAGCAGGCCTTCTGATGGCAAATGGATTTCATGCGGTCAATGAAAATTATGTTAGAAACTAGAGGCCTGGTGCACAAAATTTGTGCACTGGGGGTAGGGGGGGGGGCGGGTGTCCCTCAGCCCAGCCTGCATCCTCTCCAATCTGAGACCCCTCGGGGGCAGTCGGACATCCCTCTCAATCCGGGACTGCTGGCTACCAACTGCTCGCCTGCCTGCCTGATCACCCCCTAACCACTCCCCTGCCAGCCTAATCGACGTCTAACTGCTCCCCTGCAGACCTGGTCCTCCCCAACTGCCCTCCCCTGCCGGCCATCTTTGTGCAAGGATGTGATGGTCAATTTGCATAGTACCTATTTATTAAATAGGATGTGAACCCTAAGGAGAAAAAAAGTCACTAACAAGGGGTCCTGGTGGCTAATTGAGTTCAAATTAAAACAAACAGAGCTTAGCAGCCTTTTCTGCACAGGGACCTCTCACACATACTACACTTCACAGAGAAGGTGGAGTTGTACTGCCTGCCTCTGGGCTAAAGTGCATGTCCCTATAAAGCAGTTCCTAGAATCCTATTTCAATCAATAAGATGGAAGCTTTCCCCCTCCAATTGGAGCTGTGCAGCTCCTGCCAATCAGCTCTATTCTGACCAATCAAGGACCAGGGGCAGGGACTTCTGTCCATATAAGCCAGCTCCCCTCAAAGCCAATCCAGCACTGGCCCGTCAATAAAAGGTTTGATATGGTGGGCTATTAAACATGTATAATCAGCCCTGGCCAGGTAACTCAGTTGGTTAGAGTATTGTCCCAATAAGCCAAGCTTGTGGATTCTATCCCAAGCCACAGCGCATACATGAAGCAACCACTGATATGTAAACAAGTGGAATGACAAATCGACATCTCTGAAATCAATAAATAAAATTTTAAAAGCCATGTGTAATTACAACTTCATAAGGCAGATGTCTGGGTTAAGTGATTCATTCAACAAATGCTTGAGCACCTACTGTGTGCTTGGCACCAACCATCCTAGGATCTGTGAAAAGTACAGATACCACAGATAATTCAGTGAACATTAGTTTCCCCACCTCTTCTATTTATTTTTAATCCCCACCCAAGGACATGTTTATTGATTTTAGAGAGGAAGAGAGAGAGAAACATCCATCAGCTGGCTCCCATAGCCACTCTGACCGGGGATGGAACCTGCAGTCCAGGTATATGCCCTGACCGGGAATCAAACCCACAACCTTTTTGGTATATGGGAAGGTGCTCCAAACAAGCCACCTACAAGGGCTCTTTGAAAAAAAAAAAAATTTCTATCCCCCCTCCCCCCACCTATTTCTAAAGGTGGGCAACTAGGGCTGCTGAAAACAGTCTTGACTAGCTCATTTAATACTTCTCACCTTCTAGGATGAAAAGATAGGCCTCCAGCCTCCAGTATTCTGACTATGCACCAATAGGTGCCCCATAAACACTACACTTATTAAAACCCAGGCAGGCAGCACCCACACCTCCATTTGAACTCTTCCCTTTGTTCTTGCACTTCCTATCATGTTTCTTCTGTTGAGAAGGCAACTATCTTTCCTCTCACAGAAACTCCAGGGGGGACAGGAATGCCTGAGGAGTCAGGTTGGCTGGGGGAGGGGGGGTGGCTAGAGCATAGGTTACCACCTTTCTGGGACACCCAGAAGTTAACTTTAAAGTTAGGACACACCCTAGCTGGTTTGGCTCAGTGGACAGAGCATTAGCCTGCGGGCCAGAGTCCCGGGTTTGATTCCGGTCAAGGGCACGTAACTCGGTTGCAGGCTCCTCCCAGGCCTAGGCCCAGGTAGGAGCCTGTGCAGGAGGCAACCAATCCGTGTGTTTCTCTCACACCGATATTTGTCTTTCCCTCTCTTCCACTTTCTCTAAAAAAATCAATGGAAAAATATCCTCGGATGAGGATTATAAAAAATAATAAAATAAAATAATATGGTTAGGACTCAATGCAGCTCCGAACTTCCAGGTGGTGCTCAACAAGGAGGTACCGCCTTCCTTCTTGTCCCAATACTGTTCCCCAACAGCCATTATTTCAAGAATCAAGTTAAAAATATTTGTCAACTTCTAGAACACAGACAGCACCTATGGCATACTTCCCCAAGATCTGAAATGCTCAGTGCTGGTGTTGCTCAGTGGGTGGAGCCCTGGGCCTCAAACTAATGAGTTTCAGGTTCAATTCGCAGTCCCCTGATCTATGTGTCTCTTTCACAGCTATGTTTATGTTTCTCTCTCTTAACTCCCTCCTCTCCCTTCCTTCTATTCTCTCTAAAAATAAATGGGAAAAATACCCTGGGGTGAGGATTAATAAACTGTACACACTTTTGTACTATGGCTTCTTTTTAATTAGCATAGTTACACCCTTTGTCTTAACCATTCTACTTCTGGAAATCCCACCCCACAATGCCCAGTCCACTTTGTAAGGGTCTGAACAACAAAATATACACTCCATACTCTGATACCCAAACCACTTATCTTTGCAGCCACATAATCAAACAAGTCTTTGCTCCCATTTGGAAGATGTGGAAAGTGAGACTCAAACAATTAAGTAGCTCAATGAGACAAACGGATAACCAGAAAACGGAAGAGCGGGGATTGTCTTCTTAAATACTATAAGGGCAGTTCTGTGCCCTCATTTATCATTGTTTCTTCTAGAGCAGAGCTTCTCCAACTTTTTCTTTATTTCACCTCTCTATAGAGTCTTTTAAAGCATCTTTTTTCCTAATCACCCCCTTGCCATGACATTTTAATGCCACAAATACATTGTATATCTGGTCATGCACTGTGATCCTTATGGAAGGCCACAAACCACTGTAATATCCATCAATGTTTTTGACACCCCCCCCCCCCCAAAAAACACCTTCTACCCCCTAGGGCAGTGATTGTGAACCTATGACACGCGTGTCAGAGGTCACACACGAACTCATTTTTTTGGTTGATTTTTCTTTGTTAAATGGCATTTAAATATATAAAATAAATATCAAAAATATAAATCTTTGTCTTACTATGGTTGCGAATATCAAAAAATTTCTATATGACACGGCACCAGAGTTAAGTTAGGGTTTTTCAAAATGCTGACACCCCGAGCTCAAAAGGTTCGCCATCACTGCCCTAGAGGATATTCCCTCATTGAGGCTAGGAAGGTGTGCCTCAGTGGTTGAGTGTCAACCTACGAACCAGGAAGTCACAGTTGATTCCTGGTCAGAGGACATGCCTGGGTTGCAGGCTCCATCCCAGTGGTGGGCATGCAGGAGGCAGCTGATCAATGATTCTCATCATTGATGTTTCTATCTCTCCCTCTCCCTTCCTCTCTGAACTAAAAGTATATTTAAAAAAAAATTCTCTCATTAAAAATGCAGGTTTCCTAAGACATTCTTAAACTGGGGTCCATGGAATTAGATAGGAAAAAAATTAATTTTCTTTTCACTAACCTGAACTAAAATTTAACATTTCTTTTAATTCTGAATGTAGAGAACATACCACAGTGTGTGTGTGTGTGTGTGTGTGTTGTGTGTGTGGTGGTGGGGAAGTACAAGGTATTTATTTTCAGTAATCTGAACCAAAATTTAATGTTTATTTTAATTATGAAAGTAGGGAACACGCCACAGTTGGGGGGCAGTGGAGGAGGGGGCAGCGAAAGGTACTTATTTTCAGTAACCTGCACTAAAATTCAGTGTTTCTGTTCATTATGAATGTAGGGAACACATACCACAGTGGTATCACAGAACCTGTGAGTTTGTTTCAACAGAAAACAGATTATTGTCATGGGGTGTTAAGGCTGTTGCATTACTGGAAATTCTAGAAATTACCTGACCAGCTGCGACATCTTACTGTGTTCATAAAGAAGCATGTGTCACTTTATCACAAATATTTTTGCTTTTGATAACTATTGCAATGCAGTTTATTTCCCGGTATTTCTATGCATTTCCTTTTATGTATTTAGTTTCGGTTTTGCAGGGCTCTATGGCACAAAAAAGGTTAAGCTCCCCTGCTCCAGAAGGATCTAACAGTTCCAGGAGTGATTTACGACCTGAATACCAGCTTGCCTTCACTGTATACACAGACTCGCCTCTTCTGTAGCCATACCAGCCACATCCCACTTGAATCTTAAAACAGCAGGAGCTCTGTTTGCTTGCGCAGTAAAAAGTACTTCTGCATCCAGACCACCATTGGCAAATACTGAAACCGTATTTGCCAAAGAGTGAGAGGACTGTTATGAACAATTGCTGGGCATGCTTAAGTGAACCCTTCCCAAAAGGAAAAAAAGCAAAGTCCAGAGGATTACAGAGCAAGTCAAGCTAACATCCTCCCACCCCACCCCCACTCCGAATTTTAGGAATGTTATCTCCCAGCATCTAGTTATCCAATAAGTTGGAAGAATGCAGTAAACCCAGCAGGGGTCTTAGATTCAATCACTGCCAAATGGAGAGAAAATACTCTTTCCATTGTATAGGAAGAAAAGCTCATCTACCAGAGGCCAATCAAATGCTGGAGATGAGAAAATGCTTCAAAAAAGAAAAAGTTTATCTTGAGAAGCATTGGGACTCAAGCTTATCTCCCCCCATCCCTATATTAAAGAACTACAATGAGTAGATTAAAGTACACAATATCTACTACCCTCCCCCACACGCAGGATAATTACCAAAAAACAAAAGGAAATTGAAAAGTCCTCAAGGACTGAGCCAGTTGAAAGTGCCTTTTTATCTGAATTCCACAATCTGAGAAACACTTAATAAGCCTTTAACTTCATTCATAGATGGCAAATTAGAGCAGTAATTAAGCTTCTACTTAATGGAGAGCTAAAAAAAATTGTTCCAAACAGTCTAGGATCAAAAATCAGGAACTCTGCTGAAAGCGGGGGGGATGGGGGGAAAGGGGGCAAAAGAATTAAAGGAGGTTGCAGAGCTGCTAGGGTGTGTGAGCACTGCTACCCACGCTTGACATTATAGAGATGTGATCCATTTTGCCCCAACTGGAGCTCATCTTTGAAGCAAATTTGTAACATTCATGCAGGCAGGAAACTTTTGTTGCCTCCTTCTCCAGGGCCCCCTAGAACAAAGCCTGACACAGGAACAAAATTATGGGGGGTGGGGGGTTGTCAAAAAATAAAAGAGCATGGTGGTGGCTGAGAAGCAGTTCTTGTCTGGATCTAGAGGCTTTTAAAAATGTTTGGGTACTTTTTTAAAAATAATCAAAAGTACAACAGAGGATGAAAAGGGGAACTTCTTGAACTCTCTCCCCCCATCATTTTTCCAGGGCAATAAAGACCAGAGCATCAAACCAAAAGCTTCCAGACGCACATCTCAGAAATAAAAAGGGAGGAGAGATGATCAAACTCAACCAGCCAAACACTCGCCATGGCCCCCTCATCAAAGGAACTGACAGAAAATTCCACCCCATAGCCAATTCCTCTTCAGACCAGGACAAACAGCCCTTGTAGCGAGGCTACAATCCAACAAGCCACGGCAGCCACGGGCACGCCATTTCCACTGGGAGCTGCCACTTACTCTCAGATGAGTAAAAATGAGAACTAAAGATAATGTGCTTACGGTCCCCAGCCTGGGGTCTGGCGTACAGTAAGCTGCAGATAAAAATGCAGAATTATCTCAATTGGAAGTTCAGCGCCATCTTGACAAAATAAGTAAATAAAAACAAAGACATGGTGATTCTGAACAATAGAATTACGGATCACATTCCCAGTGCAGTGAGCCCTCACAGTTGAAATGATCTAAACACGACACTTAACACCACTGTAGACAAGAACCCGAAAGCTCAGAGACACCAGGTGGGCCTCACAGGTTGCATCGCTGAAAGGCACACAAACCAGGCTGCAGCGCACATCTCTAAAACCTTACAACAAAGCCACCTTCACTGAAAAAGAGGAAGGGCCAACTCTGTCCTGCCTGTCCAACTCCCACAGGTGAGGAAGCCAGCAGAGGCTTGAATGGCCAGCTACCTGTGCAACAACCTCCCTAATGAACCAAAAGGGGTTGCCTCTCCCCACTCAGAAACACAGAAAGTCGGCTTCCAACATTAATGCTGCACACCCACACACGTCCCTCTCCCTCAATAAAGAGGGGAGCTCCCAAACGCCCGATTTTCAAAGTCCTCACTGGCCAATGTAGATCATTTCAGTTTAGGAACGGGGGCCAGGCAGTTCGGTGAAACTTGGGAATCTTAATCGTTGGAGGTTGTAATCCAGTTTCGCACAAAGGGCACTGGAAACTCTTTTGAGAAAATGCTAATTGTCCTGTGTGTAGCTGGAGTCCCCCCTGACCACCTGCAGATGTTTTGATCTGCTAATTGATCGCCAAACTTCATTTTCCTCCCTCAAAAAACGGTATTCTTTACAAGTGGGTCTCACATGGGCGCTGCAAAGAAAGACCGGCCCCATGTTAATTTTAAATTACACCTATCTGTATGTCTGCCTTCCTAATATAGCTATATCTGTATGTACTCAGATGCTAACAGGCGGCCCAAATGCGAAGTGCAGCCATTAACATGGACTGCTTGGGAAAACTGCCTTCTGTCCCGCGGTGGTACCTGGGACTCTGCAAACACAACCTAGGACCGAGGCATCCTTTCCAAGAATCCCAAAGACTTACAAACACCTGACACAGCCAGGGATCCCGCCGGCGACTGCCTGGAGTGCCCGGGGACGCCCATCCATCCTTGGCCCTGCCCAGCGCTCCCCATTCCCCCCCACCCCAACCCCGTCCCATCAGGTGAGAGCTGGTACCTGCGAGGGGATCGCCTCTCAGTGGAGCGCGCGGCTCGGGACTGGGCCTCCAGGGGGCGCCCGCGCGCAGCTCGGCGGCCGCTCGACCCCGCGCCGCCCGCTCCGACCCCGCTGATCAAGAGCAACCCCCCCTCGCCCCCCAATAATGAGGGAGTGCACGGCCGGGCCCGAGACCGCACAGCCCGGTGAACACTGCAAACTCCGGCCAGCCCCTCCCCGCAACAAGTTCCCCTAAAGGTGCCAACGCACCGGAGCCCCACCAGCGCGCGCTCACCCAAAATGAAGGGGGAGG